CTTTTGACTTGATTTAATTTTGTTAGGAAACCTCAAAGTAAATTGATCATTCTACTTGCTCCAATGCTTAGATTACAAGAGGGCACATGTAGGAGTTGAAAGCTGTTCTCAAGTGAAGCTTGTTTCTTCATGCAAGGAATTTGTCAGTGATTTACGGATCTTTAAAGCCAGAATATATCACTATCACAATCTAATCTGATATACTGCATACCATAAACCATATATTTCACTCACTGTATTGTGTTAGTGCAGCTTGCATTCTTTCGTGCTACATTTTTGCTTCTTTGAAGGGCTTTTGTAACAGTTACTGAGTGGAAATAATTTAAAGGGCATTTTTTAAATATGTTTTTCTTAAATAGGCTGATTATGGTGTGACTATGCCATTTACTTAATTTTTGAAGCAAAAGTCTCCCCTGATGTGGGGAAGAACTTTAGCTTCAACATGACGGCACATTTTACTAATGCATAGAATGTATAGCAAAATCAACAGATTGCTTGTTATACCCTAAAAAGTAACCCAATGACCTCCAAGACCACTAACGACCACAAAGCATAAACCAGAGACTAGAAAAGATATTGTTTTTTGGAAATAGTTTTAATTCATATTCTTCTAACTAGTTATCCTGTTCACAAATGGTCTAAAAAATTGGATGTTTCAGGACTCAAGTATTGCTCTTCACATTACTCCAAGCCATATAGTACTCTAGTCTGAGAGGAAACCATAAACACCCGAGTTCTAGAAGAGAAGTGTATGAAAAATCTGTGATTGTATTTAAAGGTGTGCTGAGTAAATTCAGTACATTGGTTTTAAATTCTGAGGAGGTAGCCTTCACCTAAGTATCTTTTATGTGCAGCATCCTAAGTCACCGTGGTACTATATGGCCCAGCTCTTGGTGGTCCCTCAGAAGAGTATTTTTTTCCATCTTGTCTCTGAAACAGGTCTCCTAAGAGCAGTGTGCATGGGGCAAGGTTAACCCCAGCAAATCCACCAAGAAATCAGCTCTTTGGGATGGTATCTGAGAGAAATGCTGATTTGATGAATGCTCTTCACATCCCGAAGACACATTATGCTTCAGATGCTATTAACCATCTACAGAACGTGAAAAAGGAGGGATACTGCAGGCACCTCTCTTTAACTGCTCCCTCACTGCTCTGTCACAGGCTATTATTTAACAGTTTGATTGTTATTTTTACCCCACTTAGCAAGTCGTTGTATAAGTTGTTTGTGAAAAAAAGAGGTTATCTGTTGCTTACATAAAGCATTCTGTTCTCTATTTTATAGCTAGAAACTACTCAAGGGAAAGCGCTCACCTAAAAAGAGAAAACTATATCAAGTGTGACCTTATATAAACTTGGATCCTACTCTAGCAAGACTCCAGGCTAACTATCTGCTAAAAACATCAGTTACTGTCATGTATGGTACGTATGAAATATGCAATGAGAAGCCCACCCATCACCTTTGAATAAGAAACAAATCTAAGAAATGATTTTAAAATCAGTAATAATTAATTGGCAGTGTATTACATTTATAAAAGCTTTCTAAGTGCTAGGAAATCAGACATTGACCAAGAAGGGGAAATACACAGGTTGTAAAGATACTATGAAAGCATGACAGGCAGAAATATTGCTGAAGGATTTTTCTGATTTTCTGGCCCAGATATATCATAAACTGAAAAAAAAAAAAAAAAAAAAAAAAAAAGATCTGCATTCATTGAATTACAAGTATTTCTACTGTTGCACTAAAAATACTAAATAACATGCAAATAAGATACATTTGCTCTGTTTCTAGTGAGTCACTTAAAAAAAAATACCAACAGTGTACTGCATTCTGAATGTCCTCATTGAATGTTCCCATATGGAAAGAGTTTGTTTTTAATAGCCTAACAAACACTTTTCTGGAACCATTTAAATCTTTTACTCACTTTGCTTTATAGCACTGGCCATTTTCCATTTTCTGTGAAGCATTTTCAGTCAATGCGGTTGACTCACTCTTCTGAAATCTTAACATTTTGTTGTCCATCGATGATGCAAACCTGGAAGAAGAAGCTCCTAGCTTCAAAATTGGGGCAAAAGTATTTTGGCGGTGCCACACATGAAATTTTAGCTTCCTGTGAACAAATTCTTGGATTTATCAGTTGTATATTGAATAAATATGTGAATAAATTGTACTGATTTTCTGAAAGACGACAGCATGGTATTACTAGTTCCTGTCTTTTAGCTCTTTCCACTGCCTTTTCTTTCACGTAGGATAGAATAGGTTTGTAATTGCTTTTTCTGATCCAAATTCTGTAAGACCAACTGAACCAGCACGGGGGAATATATACAGCACTGCAATAGTGACTGCGGGACTATGTACCACTTAAAGGGGAGAAAAGTACCTTATGCAAAAGCATACATGGAGAATGTCCTAGTAGTGCAATTGCATTTGCTCATCAACATCCCCAGCTGGAAGCCACTGCTCCCCAGCCAGGTAAGCATATTCTGCTAGAGCAGTTCACCCTCCCTGTTCTTCCACACGCCTCATCTAGCAAGCATATTGTGCAGACACCTAAAGTAGTAAAGCCAAATGACAGCAAATCTAACAAGAGCAACTAGTACAAGATGCACAATGCTGTACCCATGCAGTACAGAGGCCTGAAGTAAGGCCAGCCCATTTAGTAGGAGTATGATTACAGCAGAAATAAATATTTTCCTGGCCGGTATTATGCAAGAAAATGCTGACCAGTTACCCCATACTAACTTCACACTGGATTACATATGATATCTCCTACAGACTGTCAGAAGCTGACATCAGCCTGTAAGCTGGTAAGCACCATGCTGCTTGGGCTGGATGATTTCTGTCAGAATCACAGTTGTGTAATTATATCTGCAGGCTGCCATGTCAAAGAGTATACAAGTCAGATATTGATGAACCTGGAAGCTAAGAGCTTTAGGAGACCAAGGCAGAAGAAAAATTATTTGTAACACACTTTGGGCTTAGCTATGAGTGCAGCAACAAAATGTAATGGAATATTGGTGGGAAGGCTCAACCCTTACTACCATACCACCAACATCTGCCTCTGATATTGTGGGCAAACATTATAAATTAGGAGGAATTACTTTCAGAGCAGCCGCCATAGAACTTGAAGTATCTTGGGAGCTTCAGACTGCAATGGATAGGACAGAGCTCAGGACTGTAACCAAGTACTTGTCAAGGTCATAGTTTGGACTTTAGACAACTAAATTATGCATAAATCTCAGAAAATGATAAATAAAAGATATGTTTGTTTTCTGGTGGGTTTTTTTTTTGTTTGTTTTGTTGTTGTTGTTTCTTTTTAACCAGCTTTATCATTACCTATGAAAACTAGTAATTTTCAATCACGTTGCATTAAATTCATAGGTGGTCAAATGTATTTAGCCCACATCACTGTGAGGATCTTCTTTCTCAAGTCTTTAAAACTATTTGGGCAAACATATGTTTACACACAATGAAAGTAAGTACAGTACTGATCTGCTGTCTTGGATGGGATGAGGGAAGCAGAGAAGCAAAGATCTGATGAGACTTCTGTTTCAAGGTACTGGCTTCTCCAAGATAAAATGTTAACTTTCCTACACAGATAAAACAGACATAGAAGGAGCTGTTGTACATATGTGTGTTTTTGCCTGGCCAGGTACAAGCTTTAATAAGAACATTTGTAAGGCTTCACCATTTTCTTATTTTGAAAAATACATACATTTTAAGCAAGTCAGCAGTGAGCAGTCTCCTGTAATTTGATAAATAGCCTAACCACCTGTAGTTTTACCACCAGTGGTGAAGTATTTACTACTATGAGAGTCCTTCTGCACTGTTGCTGCAGCTCTAGTCATTGTTTGGCTGCATGTGACTATCCGTTTGAAGAAAATAAAAGTTCAGAAAACTACCTTTCAAGCAAGTTACTCCTGCAAAAGCAATATTATTATTCACAGGTTTGTCTTAACCCTTTGCGTGCTTGCAACTTGTGACCTGGACAGATAACTAGCTTTCATGTATACTTATTTTCCCTCAGCATAATGCAATCGATTATGAAAAATACCTATGGAAACAACATTTTTGCTATTATTGAAACCAAGACGGTCTTTTTGTGTGTGTGTACTGAGCCATATATATTTTTTTTCACTTTTAGCCAAGAACGTTTCTACTGTACAGAGTAATTTTGTGGCTCTGGTAAGGAGCTTGTTCTACCACACTTAGAGCTGGAACTGTGCAAGCAGAGGCAATATCACCACTAATGAGAGGGGCAGCACAGCAGGACCGGCTCTGCAGAGAAAAACAAGTATTGCTGCTGTCCCAGCAGCCACGCTGTGGGATCGCTTAGAGGATAACCGTAGAGGGCTGTCATGGAGCCAGCGCCCACTGCAGCTGCAGCCCATTAAGTCCTTACAACTTGAAGTTCCCGTGCTAAAAGAACACAGTTCGCACACACCGATACCGCTCCGGGACGTGGGCCAAAACACAACGAGGATTGTGGGTTAACTCGCTTCAAAGGGAAGCGGTGGACGCGCAGACGGTGCGCTGAGGGACGAGGTTCGGCGGTTTGAATAGATAGGTGGTCTTGTAGTTCTCTACCAACTCTAATGACACTAGGGAAAAGCGCACACCTGACACCAGCCTGAAACACAGTTACAGCCCCAGCAACTCGGAGAATCCTGGCTTTTAGCCATTCGCTCCCCGCTCCTGCCTGCCTGCGGGCACGGCAGCTGTGAGGCGAACTACCACCACACCTCACCTCGGCGGCCGGAGGAGACCGACCTCACCCCGCTCCCGCGCGGCCCCAAATCTCGCGAGATGCGAGGCGCCGGGCGGGCTGGGAGGGGAGGGGGACGGCGGCGCTGTCGGCTCCGCTGAGGCGGCGCCAGGGAGGCGGGGGGGGGGTCCGGCTGGGCGCCCGAGTGCCCGCCCCCGGGCCGGCAGGACGGGCCGTTCCTTCTCACCTTAGTTCACCTCCCGCATGCCGCCGGGGCCGGGGGCGCTGTGGAGCGGGGCTCGGGTCGCCCGCCATGGCCGAGGCAGGAGCGGGGAGCGCCGAGGGGGTCGAGGAGGAGCGGCGAGCCGCTGAAGGTGGGTGCGCTCTGCTCTCGTTTCGTTAACGCTGCGGATGTGGCAGCGCACGGATGGGGTTCGGGCTGGACGGTTTTAGACGTTCTGCTTAGTTCGTGACATTCTGTTCCCGGCACGCGATTAGCTGCATTCTTAATATCTTAATATTCCCTTTTTTTTTTTTTTTTTGGCGGCTGATGGTGCCTTTAGTGTTTTAAGCGTAGCGATGTTGGCCGCTGTGTGCTCCAGCAAGTTGCCGTAACGCGGGCGGCTGTAAAGCAGCAGCAGCAGCAGCTGTCCGTGCTCCTCCTGCCTCGCTTCCTCTAGGCGGAAGGCTGAGCCCAGGAGAAAGAAGTGCTGTGCGCGGGGCTCCCAAAGGCACAAGTCGCCGCTGCGGTTCTGCTCAGTTAGCGCCGGTTCTTCAGGTCTAGTTGCTGTCGTTTCGATGTGCTTTGGGTTATGTGTGTTTTAACGGTTACGGGGATCCTGGCCGTCCGGGGGGAGGCGAAAAAGAGGCGTTTTTCTATCTGTGTGTGTGCTTGGTTGTTGAAGTAGTGGTGTAATTATGATGCGCGTACTGTAAGGGGAGGAAATAATCATAATAAAGCTCGGTGCAGACGTTTGCATTAAGTGGGAAAGCAGTGAACCGTAGGCTTTTACGTATTGGAGTGGAGGAAACCCTACTCCGTGTTTTCTTTTGTTAATGTTTACAGCTGTTCTCCTAGGAGATTTTGAAGAGATGGAGGATGGAGTCTTGATTAATCAGTATTTTAAAGATAAAATTATCTTCATTTGCATGGAGTAGATCCACGCTGGTATTAGCTGTGAAGTTTTTTCACGTGAGGTGCACATTGTTGTTAGTGCACTTGGACATTATTAAAAACTAACTCTAAACTGGGCAGTTGGTATTAGCTAAGAATCATCTTCACTGTACGAAAAATCTCCTTGTGGGTGACTGGAGGTGCTCTGAAAACTTCTTCCCCAGGGCTGGTTTAAACCATGGAAGTTCTGCTGCTGACTTACGAAGCCAGTGTTTTACTTGCAATGCTTTGAATTAAAAACTTACAAGAAAACAGCTATCTTCTATTCCTTTAGCAGTATGTCATTGGAGAGTTACATTGGTGTTAGCTTTGTTTGTTTGTTTTTCAGTGTTCTCCTCCCCCTCTCTACCAGTAATAAATTGAGATATATGAGACTCTCATTTTCTGTCAGTGACCTGATTTGAGCCTGGAAGTGACGAGGAAAGCAGGGTTATCTTCCAAGGGCTTTGGGTATCTTTACATTAGCTAGTTACAGTCATGCTTTTTAATACGCTAATAGGTTTGAGCAAATAATTGGTGTTTTAAGGTCTATTAAATGAAAGTATTATTTAATTAGTAAGTTATGATTCCTGATTATTTTCTTCTGAATGTTAAAAATAGATACAGAAAATTGTCAGCTGCCCATATTAATGTTTGGCTTACATTTCTATATTATAGGATATTGAAATTTTCCTTTTAATCAACTTGTGACAATAAAACCAATCCAGTGTTCTTAAGCTAACTTAGAAGAGTAAATTCTCTATGTAGTATCGTGCTTAAGATGGTTTTATTGCTGCTGTTTGCATCTTTCTTCTGTTTCATGTATGGTTATAAAAAATACAATGTAAAAAAAAAAAAAAAGCACATCTGTTTTATGCAGCACATTTCTACTGTTTTCACAGCTTGACCCAGATGAAAATGGTTGTCCCAGCTTTAACTGTATGTACACAGTGGGCTGTGGTCCGGATGATAAACTTGCTTTAAATAGTCTGAATATGGTTTTCATTGACTTGTTGTAAAGCTTTGAAAGCAGAAATATCTAATACAACTCTCGCTCCTATTTAGAAAATATGGTTGGTTGTTACACATGTGTTCAGACCTGGGGACCTGTCCACTGATGCATGAACCTATAAACTTTCTTTCTCATACAGTACTGTATGTATGTAGGATATTGGTATAGTTTGCTCATTCTTTAATAAAAACCTGCAGTAAGAATTAATTAGAATAATTTTAGAAAAACAATTCTGTGGTAAAATAAAGCAATTTACGTGATGTTAACCTTTTTGAAATTATTTGAATCATCAGCTGTCTTGTGTGCGTGTGCTCGTGTATAGGTTCAGGTAGATATCCCTAATTGCTTAAATAGTCAGAGACAGCTGACATCTTCAAATAAAAAGTTTGAGTGTGTCGAGTGTTACAAAACTTGTGCATCTTGAGTAGTAACCTGGTTGAGAAAATCTAGATTATCATAGAATCACAGAATGGCCCAGGATCACCAAGCTCCAACCCCCCTGCTGCATGCAGGCCACCAATCTCCATATCTAATGCTAGACCAGGCTGCCCAGGGCCCCTTCCAACCTGGCCTTGAACACCTCCAGGGATGGGGCATCCACAACCTCCCTGGGCAGCCTGTTCCAGTACCTCACCACTCTCTCTGTAAAGAATTTCCCCCTGACATCCAACCTAAATCTCCCCTCCCTCAACTTGAAACCATTTCCCCTTGTCCTGCTGTTATCTACCCTTTCAAAGAGTTGACTCCCCTCCTGTTTGCAGGCTCCCTTTAGATACTGAAATGCTGCAATGAGGTCACCCCGCAGCCTTCTCTTCTACAGGCTGAACAAGCCCAGCTCCCTCAGCCTGTCTTCATAGGGGAGGTGCTTCAGCCCTCTGATCATCTTCATGGCCCTCCTCTGGACCCTCTCCAACAGCTCCCTGTCTGTCCTGTGCTGGGGACTCCAGACCTGGACGCAGTACTCCAGATGGGGCCTCACAAGAGCAGAGTAGAGGGTGACAATCACCTCCCTGTCCCTGCTGGCCACCCCTCTTCTGATGGCCCAGGATACCATTTGCTTTCCGAGTCGCAAGAGTACACTGCTGGCTCATGTTGAGTTTTTCATCCACCAGGACCCCCAGGTCCTTCTCCACAGGGCTGCTCTCAAGGACCGCTCCTTCCCGTCTGTATGGATGCCTGGGATTCCCCCAGCCCAACTGCAAAACTCTGCACTTTGCCGTGTTGAACCTCGTTAGATTCACCCAGGCCCACCTTTTGAGTCTGTTGAGGTCCCTCTGAATGGCATCCCTTCCTTCAACCGTGTCGACCGCACCACTCAGCTTGGTGTCGTCAGCAAACTTGCTGAGGGTGCACTCGATTCTGTCATTGATGTCATTGATAAAGATGTTGAAGAGGACTGGTCCCAAGACAGACCTCTGAGGGAGACCACCCATTACTAGCCTCTGTCTGGACATGGAACAGATCACTACCCTCTTTCTGCAGCCTTTAAACCAATTCCTTGTCCTCTGGATGGTCCATCCATCAAATCCACATCTCTCTAATTTGGAAATTATTAGATTAGATTGTTTATATACCTAGATATTGGGGGAAATGGGGTGGGAGGCAGAATACCCCAGCTTCTCTGTGTGATTGCACTCATGAGGGCTTCAGGCTGAGACCTTTGCATCAAGTAAGTACTCAGAGACTGTGTGTGTGTTAGCATTCTGATTCAAAGCAGCAGCATTATTTTGATGTGATCAGCCATCCTTATTCTGTGCTCACTGATTTGGCTTGCGTTCTTGGTATAAATGAGTTGAACTCTTCTCAGAAGAAATTGAACTAGAACTTTATTGTAGGAAGGGTGAATGTTACTGCAGGTCAAATGTTCCCCAACTTGAAACTTAAGGAACTGAACCAAGGATTGGTTCTCAGACAGCTTTAGAACATGTGGATTGTAAGGATTTTTGCTTTACTGAACCAGACAATGGAATTTAACATAAGCACTTTGGACTACTTAAAAACTGGAAACAGGGACTTCTGCTGCAACCACCTGCTTCTGTCTATTAACCTGTTGTACTACAGCTTCTACTAATATAGATACAGCCTAATAACTCCTATGGATGGATTTCAATTTCAGTAAGTCATTTGCATAGTCAGAGGAAGGACCACTTATGTGTCATCTTAACTACACCCACTTTCAGCACAATTTTGAGTTCTTTAAACTTGCCAAAGCTTGAATTTCTTGCAAATGGTTTTTGTGCATGCCAAAGAAACATACGTTTGCAAAATACACACTTTAATAGTTTGATTATTTAAAGCTTGTTATAGAATGTTTTTCAAAAAAATTGGGAAAATGCATCTGTGGTCTTAGATACTTCGATTCAAAGCAGCTTCTTTCATCTTCTGCCAGGAAGTGTTTCAAAATGGGAAGTTGGATTGTAAATGCATTCTTATTCTTAGAAAGATTTGTGTTAGTGTTACCACATTGATAACTTAAGCAGCTGCAGAGTAATTCTCAAAGTCTGTGGTGTACGTTTATCCTCAGAATACACAGTGTGCCACCCATAGCAGTTTGGGTTCTTCTGTTTCTTTTGTTGTTTGCTGAGATGATTAGAAAATATCAATGAGTATGTTTTGCTGCAATATCCTGGTAGATGGATTTAGACGTTCTTTTTTTTAAAAAAAAAAAACCTGTCTACATGAGAGCTGATGGCTTTTTTATTGATGTATTAATATCACTCTGTTAATGTATCAGGAAAACCTATGAGGAGTTAAACGTATGTTTAGCCAAAAGCTAAACTTCCATTGAAGGGGGGAGTAGGCCATGGAGTAGTGATGTGTGATCAAGGCAGTGATTTTGAAAGGCTGTTTTGAATTTAAACCTGTATGTGAGGCAAACAGAGGCAGTCTGTGGCTGTTGTACTGTAACAATTGTGTGATAATTTGATAGCTACCTTGGGTGGGATTCATCTCACTTATCTTTAGATATCTAGGGCGTAGATGTTGGTATCTCAGCTAGTTACTTTCTTCTCTGAGTAATTACTGAAGGGAAGGAGGTAGGCACTCTTGGACTGTACTTCATCTAAGTGTGCAAATTTATTTTAGATTGAGATGAATCACCCTAGAAATGTACTTCATCAAACTGATTGTAGGAATCTATTTTAAGTTGAGATGAATCACCCTAGAAATGTCTTCTAGTATCCAAGAGAAACTAGAGTGGCTAGTTCAGATGTGGACATGATTATTTGCTCAGATGAATCTCTCCATTTATGGCTGATGGAGTTTGGCCTTAACTCTTTTCTGATAGACTGTCTTTGTTTAGAAACCGACAACATCGGTGGGCAAAGGAAGGGCAACTGATGCTGTCTACCTGGACCACGCCAAAGGCCTTGCACAAGTCCCACACCACAGCCCCATCTCTAAATTGGAGAGAGATGAGTTTGAAAGGTGAACTATTTGGTGAATGTTGGTAGGAAGGTAGCAACCAGAGGGTAGTTGTCAATGGCTCTATGTCCAGGTGGAGGCTGGTGATGAGTGGTGACCTCCAGGGATCTGTCTTGTGACTGGTACATCTTTATCAGTGACATATGTGATGGGGTTGGGCGCACCCTCTGCAAGTCTGCTGATTACACCAAGCTCTTCTGTTACAGCAGAAGGAAAGGATGTCACCCAGAGGGTCTTGTGCAGGCTTGAAAAGTGGGTCCATGTAAACTTAGTGAGGGTCAGCAAGGCCAGGTGTGGGGTGTTACACTTTGGTTGGTCACAAATACGTGTACAGATGGGGATAAGAACTCCTTGAGAGTAGCCCTGCAGAAAAGGTCATAGGAGGCCTGGTAGATGAAAAACATAATGAGAGCCTGCAGTGGGCGCTTGCAGCCCAGAAAGACAACAGTATCCTGGGCTGCAACAGAAGAGATGTGGCAAGCAGGGAGGTAAAGGTGGTTGTCTCTCTCTACTCCGCACCTGTGGGGTCCGCAGCACAGGAAAAGCATGGAGCAGTTGGAACAGGGCCACAGGAGGCCACAAAGATGATCAGGGGGCTGGAGCACCTCTCCTAAAATGAAAGGCTGAGGGAGCTTGGAAACAGGAAGGAAATTAAACAAACAAAAAACCAAACCAACACGAGGGTGGATAGTGATAGGACAAGGGGAGGATGTGTCTATGCTAAAAGAGGGGAGATTTAGATTTGGCATCAGGGGAAATTTCTCACTAGGAGGGTGGTAAGGCACTGGAACTGGCTGCCCAGAGAAGTTGTGGATGTCTCATCCCTGGAAGTGTTCAAGGCCAGGCTGGATGAGTGGGCAGAATGATCTAGTGCCGGATTTAGTGGTTGGCAACCCTGCCTGTGACAGGGGCAGGAACTTGATAATCCTTGAGGTCCCTTTCAACCACAGTATGCTCCTATGAAAACCTCAGAGCTTTTAGTAGTGAAAACTTCAGAAACATGGTATGTATTTAGAAAATAGTGTCAGTAATTAGAAAAATCTAGAATGTCTCCCAAGTCTTATATTTTAATACGTTGCATGTGATTTGCACAGAATGATTGCTGAACGCAGGAGTGTAGTGTTATATGTAGATTATCCTTACTTCGTGTCCTAACCCTAGACAGTAGTTTTGTGTTGAGATATATATATATGTGTGTGTGTATATATATATATATATATATATATATATATATAGGGTTCATATTGAGAACTAAACAGTAATCATGTATGGACATGTTTTCAAGGAACTGTTCACCTAACTTTAAAGCTTAGTTATCTATATAGGAAGACCTTAATAAAACTGTGAAATAAATAGTAATATTAGTGAATAGTGTCATTTCTCAGTTTGAATTTTGTTAGACTTGCAAACCAGGCTACTGTAAGTAATAGTGTTTGGACTGAAATTCAACTCTAGTTGAATTATATTAGTAGTTTAGAAACTGGCTAATGATTTTAGTTATTTCAGTCATCCGAGAAAATAAACTTGGATATTATTGTTCTTGAAGCAGGAGTGCAATGAAAGTGGAAAATGTTTAGTTTTGCTTCATATTTTCTTAGGGATGTTTGATTTTACTGTTAATGAAAGATAGTAATGTAGCTGAGAACCTCCTGTCAAAGAAGCAGTTCCTGGTTATTGGACTACATTCTAGGTCATGCTCTTTCTGACCCAAATGATTTCTCAATGCTTTATCCATCTCTTCTAAAGTGGTATAGGCAAAGAAGTAAAGGAATCTTTCATTGCAGAGTGCAAGAGATTAAATTATTCTTCAGGGAGAGGCCGAGCAGCTTGGAATCACGCAGTCCATAGTCAGAGTTATTGCAGAAAGCCCCGAAGGGTTGTTTTAAAGCAGTCTTGCTGACTTTTCAAAGCTGACCTCGCTTTATGAACTGCTTAAGTCTGCTTCTTGTTCAGTGAGTAGTAGGTATGAAAAATGCTTGCTCTTGTCTGTTGCATTCAGAACTGAATTCAGAATAATTGCTTTTATACTAAGTTTGGTACTTCTAAAGCTTTGGATTTTTTTCCTATTTATTTGTTGAGACTCTCAGCAAATACACATAAAGAATATGTGATATCTGCTCTACATGGCAGAAATCAATACAGATTCTTGATGCTTTCTATCTTCCCTAAGTTAAAGTTAGATGGCGTTTAAGGTGGTATTTAGTTTAAGGTGTGTCAGTGATGTTCAAGGATTCAATCTGTCACCTAAACACTTTGATGGACAAGTTCATAGTGGGTCATTGTTGCTGATGATTAAACGCTTAAATTTTTCTTAGTTAAGAAAAAAAGAAAAGGATGGCATTGGGAAATGTAGAGGAAATAGGTGCAAGTATTCAGAATTTATTGCCAGAATGCCAGGAAAAATGTTAGTTGTTGTGATAAAATGACGTATAAGTTGGAAAGGCTGTAAATGATACATTGTTTGAATTCGTTTTGTTTCTTTAAAGGAAGTGGTTTAGAAAGCAGGCTGGCCATCTGTGTGCAAAGAAGTATTTAGGTCAGTGGGTCTGTTCTGTCCTGCTTTATTGAAGGCTGAAAGGATCTGTTGTATTGAAAGCATTCTTGCCTTCGGTACATTTAGATTTCTATTTAGTAAGTACTCTTTGCTGAATATGTACTAAGTATGGTTGTGTTTCAAAAACGTGCCGTAGTGATTTTGTATATTGGTGTTTGATAAGTGAACTAAAATTACTCTTTACAAAAAGAAGTCCCTTTGAAATTGTTGGAGTTTTTATTGGTTTTTATAATTGCAAGAATTTGTGATAGAAATATCAAATGAGACTATTATAGAGTGATAATGAATGAGAAAGATATTTGAAACATTTACCATTTGTGCCCTTGTATACATGATGTAATTTCTTTAAAAATCATTTTAATAACCTTAATTAGCATAAATTGCATATTTGAAATAACTGTGTTTCTGTTGCAGATGCCTGGAAGCTGTTACTTATTTGACAAATGTTTCTGTATTCCTTGCGTTTTTACCTCATTTTCTTTGGAACTTCCACTGTGGCTTAACGAGTTAAAGAGATTTCTGCAATAAAACGGGGGCTGACTCTGTGTAGTCTGACTTGGTAGAAAGAGGATTAGTGGCAGACCAGACGATGCTGTTCAAGTATTAGCCTATTTGATTGTACTCTGCAAAGTAATATTCCTACAGAAAATGAGAACCTAGAAGTTAATTTTTCTGGTGTAAGATGTGCTTACACCTTAGAGGAAAAAAGTGTACACTGTGTATCATTCTTTTTACAGATTTTTATCTGTCATTTAAAGGCAGCACAGTTGCAAAATAGTGATGATAATAATAATAAAATAAAGCTCTCAGTAATATTCCATTTTTCTTCCTGCTGGGTTTTCAAAGAGCCTGTCTTGGTCTTTGCCTGCAGCAAAAATAGGAGATGTGCACTTCCTTAAGTAACCTTTGTTAACCCATCCTCTGCTGCTTTGTGGAATTAATCCTTTGTTGTTTTGAGATGTATGTCATAATCATAAAATTGCTCAGGTTGGAAAAGACCTTAAAGATCATCAAGTCCAACCACAACCTAACCATACTACCCTGACAACCCTCTAGTAAATCATGTTCCTGAGCACCACATCCAAATGGTTTTAAACACATCCAGGAATGGTGACTCAACCATTTCCCTGGGTTTGAGCACTATTCCAGTGCTTCACAACCCTTTCTGTAAAAACCCTTTCTTTATGTCTTTGGATATTTACCCCACTAGCTCAGGAAGTGTATGGAAGTGCCTATATTTGCTCAAACTGTTTCTTTAAGCTGGGTAGTTCTTTGTGATGGTTTTACACTGAGACAGAAAAAAAGGTTAGTACTTAAATTCCTTGAGAGTATTTTTCTTCTCAAATAGTTGCTGAGGTTATTTTGGCTTGTGACTTCCTTTTTGTCTGACCCAGAAACAAAGTAGTTTGCCTTGAGAGAAGGAATTCAAAGGGAACTCTGAGGCAGAACTTGACACATTTTCAAGGCTGTCTTGACTTACATGGCTGATATTATGAGTAATCATGGATTTATGTCAGAACTATGGCTTTTTTTTTTTTTTTTGATGTTCAGCTTGTTTAAAAAACAAGTTTGCTGTATATATTTTTTAATTTGAATCTAGAGTTAGTATTTTGATCAGCTAGCTGAGGCTACATCGTGTGACTTTGCAGCAGGATTCTGGAGGTGCTGGGAGATTTAAGCGTAATCAGCTAGGACTGAGTGAAGAAAAAGAGAAATGTATTTTATATTGCCTTGGTGAGCGGAATGAGTTGATGAGAGCTTTATAGGAGTGTGCAAAGACTGTGTTTTTATGTACGTAGGTATTTGCAGTGCAACTTGTGTGAGCTTTGTATCTTAGATGTGAAAGGCAGCTATGCAGGTGGTTGTTTTTTCCAGATGAAAACCAGAATGGATGCATGATGTTCTGGTTGTACACTGGGCTTATTTATTTTTCTCATTCACAGATAATTTCCCAGTAGATGGAAACTCGTGCATTGTTTCTGGAGTCCCCAGCCTCATGAATCCAATAACTAAGCCTGCTACCACTTCTTTCAACAATTCTGTGGTTGAGATTCCAAGAAAGCGCAAAGGAAGTGATTCCGATAACCAGTAAGTAAATTGATTCTGTTTGTTTCTACAAAAATCTGAGATGCTTGTTTATTATTTCTGTGATGTAACTTTTGAATCTTCTTTCCTTTATATATTGCAATTATTTATATTACTTTTTTCTAATGTGTTCTTTGACTGTTTGGAGCACTTGAAACTAGAAAAAATAATCCTTCTATCCAAGGGGTAGGTGTAGGATTCTGATGTAGATGTAAGTGAAATGTCTGGAGCATTTGTCTAATGATAAAATTTCAGACCTGCCTCTATTTTTCTTTCCCTGTGTGTAAAGACAAGTTCCGTTTGCAACAAATTACCGAATTGCTTGAAGTGCTGGAATTTCATCTCTAAAGTCTTTAATGTAGAATCAGAACTGCTTCTTCAGTGACCAGGGCAGCCATTTAAATACCCAGAAGGAACTGTGACCTAAAAATGAGTACTTTCCTGCAGTAGAACTCAGTCTTTTTAAGCAGATCATACTTCATTGCAGAGATGATACAGTCAACTATTTTCGCTTACTCTGTAACTGCCAGTTAACCAAATACATATTTTCCTGTAAATTTGGAATAATTAATTTTAATAATCTAATTTATATTTCTCAGCCAGAAGTCAGGATGCAAGTCAGCATGCAGATCTTCTGTATGGCAGGCAGCTCCAAACTAGTGTGGAAAATCCACCTTTAAAAAAAAGTGTGTGTATAAGAAATTTACATCCATTTGTGATTATTAAAGCAGTTATCTTTTTCTGTGTGTAGTCCACTGATCCACAGAAAGTAGCAATACTGTAGATGTTGAAGTAATTGTCCAATCACAGCTTCAAGTCTATCTTATAGATCTCTGAACACTTCAGAAGGACAATAACTTCTGGAAAAAAATGTTTCTTGGAAGCACCAGTTGATTTTAGCTGTTTAATGAAAATGCTGCTTTATCAATGCTGTTTCTTTGAAGTTTGGGTCTGTCTCTGATTTAGTGAAACTTCTGTCTGAAAAAAAAATCACATCTAGTTGAAATATTCATAAATAAAGTTATAGTTTATAAGAATTCATAGTTTCTAAAAACGAATGTTCTTGCTGAAAATAACTTGTCATGTGGGGTTTCCAGTGAACTTTTTCTGCAACAACTTTTTCCAGTGGGTATATTGTGTCATTGTTTTTTGCTTCAGAGTGTACATTCAGCTTATTTCTTTACCTGTTTCTACAGGGATACAGTTGAAGCTGATGGGGATCCTCAGAAAAGGTACTTTTATAAATGAAGCTGTTTCTATTTTCAGTGTTGTAAGCATGTCACAGTTTTCTATTTGGATAGCTAAAGTGTGCAGTTTGCCTTAAGGAATGTTTGTCTAAGGATATGTGTTTGTACAGCAAAAAGTGAAGCTAATTACATGTATCTAATTAGTGGGGTGGATAAATCCATCCAGTGTTAGTTTTCTATTGTTTCTTTCGGAGGAGATGTTATGACTTGCTCATAAGCTTACCAGACCTATTTGTGTTGAAATTAAGATAAGAATAGGAAAGAAAGAAGACTAACATATGAGAAGACCGAAGAGGTGGAGGGAATGTCTCGTACTCTTCAGGAATGATGCATTTAAACATTTTTTTCATTTTTCCCCAACCTTGTCAACCTGCTTTTTAAAACATAACTACTGTATCTAATGTTAAAATAATGTTATTAGAAAGTGACAAGCTAAAATTAAGATTGGCTGTACCAATCTTTAAGAACAAAACAAAAAAAACAAGCCTTTGGCATGTGTTTATATAATGGGACAGTTATTAATTACACGATTACCTTGCTGTGTTTTCTTTCTCTGCACCTCTCTAGCTTACGTAGATAAATATTTGTATGTAGCTATTCTCTTTTATCTTTCTAGGCAGTGTTTGGTGTGTGGCTTAGTGGGTAGCCTTAAAATCTTTTCCTAAATATCATTCATTTCTTTGTGGATTTTTCCATTCTTCTTATTATGGAAAGATGTGAAGGAAATCCTGTTTTGTATTTAATATCCCTGCTTTTCTTTTAGAAGAAATACAGGTGTATGTTTAATAATGGGGAAAATAGAGGAAAAGGTGGTATTCTTTAACTCTTTTTCTGAATAATATAACTCTTGTTCTTGCTAAATTAAATCTATCTACCTTTGAGTCATGAAGCAGACTGTCACTCTGTTTTCAAGGTAGCCTTAATGTAGCTATTTTAAACAGTACCAGCACAGCTGTTGGGACAGAGGCTATATGAAACCATTGAAAACTGTAACTGCTTGAGCAGCAGACTTGCTCTAGTTCCTTCCCTAAGTGAAGGTCCTGAGGGAGGAGGAGAGGTAATCAAGAGGCTCCATACTGCACTGTGGTGGTCTGGATCTCTTTATCTCTTTATCTCTTCACCCCTTTTGGTCAGACAGTGTAGCGTGCTGAGTCATTGGTGCATGAGTTTGGAAGAGACCTTCAAGTACATCAAGTTCAACCACCATTATTAGCCACCATTTATTATATAACCATAACCCTAGGGGTGGTTATTATTAACCACCATTATTATATAGATTATCCAATCACCCTACTGAGTTCCTTCACTAATCCATGTTCCTGAGAATCACAGATTTGCCAAGGTTGGAAAAGACCTCTAAGATCATTTAGTCTAACCATCCACCTACCACCAATGTTGCCCACTAAACCATGTTCCTTATTATCACATCTAGAAGTTTCTCAAACACCTCCTGGGGTGGTGACTCAACCACCTTCTGGAGCACCTAACCACTCTTCTGAAGAATTTTTTCCTAACATCTCTCCCCTAGTGCGACTTGAGTCCATTCCCTTTTGTCCTATAGCTGTTACCTGGGAAAGGAGGCCAACTCCCACCTTGCCACACATTCCTTTGGGGTACTCGTAGAGAGCAGTGCCACATCCCCTTATCTCTTAAATGGAGATTCCACTTCCCTGCTCAGGCCGTTCCAATGTATGATGAACTCTTTCTATGAAGAAATTCTTCCTCAAATGCAATCAAAACTTCCCCTGATGCAGCTTGCATCTTATCACTTGGCATCTGGGGAAGAGACTGACACTCACCTGGTTGCATCCTTCCTTCAGGTACCGTTAGAGAGCGATGAGGCATCCTCTTCTTCAGATCAGATTAAATAGCTCCAGTTCTCTTATCCATTCCTCGTGTTAAACCAAAGTGGCCCCAGTACTGAGCCCGGGGGAGCACCACTGGTGACTGGCCACCAGTTGGATTGAACACTGCCTGCTAGGATTCTTTAAACCCAATCATCCAACCACTTCTCTTCACCCAACAAACTGTACACTTGTCTAGACTACAGGCAGACTTTCTTTCATGGGGAATACCTTGAGAAGCAACGTCAAATGCTTTACTAAAATCCAGGTAAACAACATCCACAGTCTTCCTCATCTACTCAGCAGGTCATCTTGTCCTAGAAGGAGATCAGGTTAGTCAGATAGGACCCGCCTTTCAAAAACTTGTAGTTTTTGAAAAGTACGGGCTGCATCTGATCACTTGATTTTCCCATATATGCTTTGAGGTGATGTTCAAGGTTATCTGCTCTATAACCTTCCCTGATACTGTGGTCAGACAGACAGGCCTTAATTCCCTGGATCCTCTTTCCTGCCCTTCTTGCAGATTGGAGTCGCATTTGCTAACCTCCAGTGAACTGAGACCTCCTCAATTAGCTGTGACTGCTGGTAAATTGTTGAAAGTACCTTGGTAAGCACCTCTGCCAGCACTGTCAGTATCTGTGGATAAATCCCATCTAGCCCGATAGAGTTATAAATGTTTGAATGATGTAGTAGGTCACCTGCAGATTCCTAGAGGATTGTAGGCACTTCACCTTGCTCCCTGTTACTGTTTTCCAGCTCAGGGGTCTGGGTACCCTGGGAACAGTTGGCCTTGCTAGCAAAGACTGAGGCAAAAAAGGTATTAATTACCAGGGTTCGTAGTATATGCACATTCCTGGTAAAAGCTTATTTAAACACAAAAGAAAAAAAAGTTAGGTATTACTAACTTGTCTAAATCTGCATTTGGGTTTATCAGACTGCCTAGAAGACGCATGGGATCTAGTAAAATCTTGAGCTGAAAAGCTGAAATCTCTGAGTCTTGTGTTAATTTGGCTCTGGCTGCTTCATTCTTTCTGGGGTCAGTGCTTGGTTATAAGTGGAAGCAACTTTTGAACTCTTTCCGAAAGCTGTAATCACCAACTATCTTTCTGCTTCCTACTTCTGTTTTCTCATAAGAAACAGCTGTGACTGATACACCTGTGTCCTTATAAGCCGCCTGGTACAACATACACCTCTTCTAAAATGATCCCAAGGCTATCAGACATCACCTCTGAAATGGAGTTGTGTGAAATGTCTCCATTGCTGAATTAAAAAAAAAAAAAAAAAAGCTTAAGTACTGCTATAAACATTAAAAAATGGTTATTTCAGTTTATTTTAACAAAAACAGTTGCCAATATTAGTATGGAAGCAACCTCTGTGCAAGTACTAAGTTGCGCATGCTGAGTTGGCAAGACATCTGTTATGCCATTTTCTGAAATTATTAAAGATGGTGGTGGGGATCTTGGAGAAGAAAAAATATCATTGTTTTTGCTTGATTCATTTATTTTTTTCGTGCTGCTGAAGTATTTATCATGATACTAGCACTATGATTGTCTTTCATTTATAGTTTTCTCATATGGACTCTTTCCAGTCATTGCTGTGTGGTATGGGAAAATGCTTAATAGTTTTGCTTCTTTTTTTCAGTCCTTGAGCAATTACATTATATTTTAGCACCTGTCTAGGCTAGGGTTGCTTTTTTAATCTTTTGGCATAAAAATTTTAGAGATAAGGAGATGAATAGAGAATCACACTTGAAAAATTAAAATAAAATCAAGCCTAAACCTTGAATGTTTTTTGTTTTTTTCAGATAGAAATAGACCTGTAATCATTAAATATCCCCATAATATGTTCACATAAGTATGAATATTGGAGATTATGCCTTGGTATTTTGTAGTATGCATCATTTGTAGAGGACAGATCATTTTTGTATTGGGAATTTTTGTGGTTTTGGTTTTGTTGGAATGATAGTAAATTTATAGCATTTCTTACATCTTGAAGTGCCTAATATTAAATATGCAATATAAGAGTCTATGTCTTGTTTTCTCTAGGAATGAAGATGAAGAACATCTTAAGATAAAAGATTTCAGGTACTAACTCCCAAGAGAAATATATCTTGCCAGTAAATACTAGGACTGAAAACAGCAGGATTCACCATAGTAATTTGTTTGTTACTGTCAAATGTCTAACAGTAAACTTTGCCTTTTTTTCTCCTGATTTTCTATTAATTCTTAGAGCTTCCTTGGGGATCTCATTTTCTACTAATTTTAATCAAAGTTATATTGCAGAATATCTGTCATTTAGGAAAAGCCTGAGATTAAAATTGTTAAGGTGAGAATCAAATGAAATACTTTGAAGTCATGCATGAAGGAGCTGGCTCTCAGTCCGCATGACTTTAAGAACTGTTTCTTCTTGATTTGTCTGCACGTGGAGTTATTTAAGAATTATTCCACACAGAAGTAGATTCAACAAAAGCAAGACAAAGAATTCTTGTTCTGGAACAAGTGCTTGTATATGGAACTATTCAAGGATTGCCATTGTACTGTGAATTCACATCTTTCTTAATCTAAATTGAAATTCACAAAAAGCACTTGGCAGAAACATTACTTGTACAATATGCTAACTAATAATTATGAAGTGTTGTTTAATTTAAATTAAATGGAAGAAATGAAAGTGTTCCAAAATATACTTACAATTTTTTTTATTAAAGTCAAAATTTCATTTTTCTTTAATGAGTACCCCTGATCACTATGCAAGAATCTGTTTTGTACATTGCTTTGATAATACTCATGTTCTACTGTTAATTTCTTTTCCTTAAGTTTTGCTTCATTAGTTTAAAAAAAAAAGTATATATTGGAACACATCTTGAAGGTTTGCTCAACAGTTATCTCTGTCCAGTGTTTCTTTTCACAAGCCTATTGGGGGATGTGCTTTTTACCTTCCTGTTTGTAACTGGGGAGTATAACAGCCGGCTTTCTGAATTATGCAGTCATAACTACGTCTATACGTTCTTCTTGAATCTTAGAAATGTGAAAATTTGTTCTATTTCTGCATGTGTTTGTATTCATTTTCCTGAGGTTCACGGTTCAAGGAGCATACACAATATGTTTCTTGACTGTTCCTACCTGATATGAAAGAAAATTTGTATGAACCAGTAAAGTCAAGTGCCTACTGGTAAATTTTATAAGAGGCTTTAGAGAGAAAAGCAAATTGCTTCTGTGAGTGATCCAAAGTTATTTGCATGGAAGGGGGATTTCTTTTTTGTGCTTTCAAAGAAAAATTAAAAAAATAATAGAAGACAAGATCTCTAAAATTCTTTTAATTCTCTCCATCAGGCTAGGGTTAGTTAACTTTATTATCTATAATGCTTTCTATTACAGTATGTCTAAAAAGAAGAGTTTTGAAGATCAGTTAGCCAAAACAGGTTGTCAGTTTGATCAGTTTGATTTACTACTACCGTGTCAGGTCTCGGTGAGAAAGGAAAATAATCCTCATTTTGAGTGGCTAGCTTGTCTTCTTGGGTAGACTGGGAATTGAATGAATTAAATCTTCCTTGACCAGCTGAAGGATGTTAGAGGAGAGAAGGGTCAGTTAGAAAAGCCAACATACTTCACCAGAAAGAATTAAAGAAAAGGTGACCTGAGTTATAAATGTTTGTGAAATGTACTGTTGTGTGTCCTAGAAGGGATATTATGATGAAATCGTTTTTTAAGAGAAGCTCTTTCTCTGTGCTTGAATTCTTGGATTGAGGCTTGCCAAGAGATGAAAGTTTGAGACAGAGTACAAGCAGAGACTAAATCCTTTTCTTGCCCGCCTTCAGAGGTGGATAAAGGAGAAAGCCTTCTGATGTAGTTCCAGTGAAAATAGATGAGGTATAGCCTTTTCTTTCAGTTTCCACAGCATGAAAATATGTTGTCTATTGCGCTATGCTATGAATAAATGCTTGTGTTTGTGACTTTATTCAATCTGAGTCATTTTCAAACTAATTAAATAGCAAGAAGACATCACTTATCTCAGATTATTGAGTTCAGAGATACTTCAGCAAGTGTTTAAAGCACTTAAAAAAAATAAAAATAGTTGGATGACTACCCCATTTTACTTACACAGAGGATAACGTATTCTGATGATTACTGTTGACATCAAATATCTGGTATATAGTAATCCCGGGGCCCCCAGTACAGGAAAGATGCCAAGCTCTTGGAACAGATGTAGAGGAGGGTCACTAAGATGATCAGAGAGCTAGAGCACCTCTCCTATGAAGAAAAGTTGAGGGAACTGGGCTTAGATAGCATGGAGAAGAGAAGGCTCTGGGGAGATCCCATGTGTGGGAGCATATAAACAAGTGAGGGTATGACTGTTTATGAGGGTGGATAGTGATAGGGCAAGGGGGAATGATTTTAAACTGAGACAGGAGAGCTTTAGGTTAGATATTAGGAGGAAGTTTTTCACTCAGAGGGTGGTGACACACTGGAACAGGATGCCCAAGGAGGTTGTGGATGCCCCATCCCTGGAGGCATTCAAGGCCAGGCTGGATGTGGCTCTGGGCAGCCTGCTCTGGTGGTTGGCGACCCTGCACATAGCAGGGGATGGGTAGAAAGTAGGTGATCTTTGAGGTCCTTTTCAACCCAAACCATTCTGTGATCTGATGAAGATGTGAAGGTATTCACTTGCTTCTAGGAGCACATGAAGAATTTCAGTTTTGTAATTTTTCATGGTGTCTTGTTTCTGCCACAAATGATCAATTGCTGTGAAGTATGATTCTACGACTCTACGTTGTTATTTAACAGATTTTTCTCAATATTTCATGTAAATATTTTGATCATTGTTACTTTGATCAAATGAATCCAATTCAGTTGTCAAATAGAGATGGTGTATGAAAAATCATTTAAATGCAGGAATAGTTCTTGTGATACCTTCCCAAAATGAAACTAATGAATATTATAGAGGAAATTGTGTATTCCACATCTTTCTTAAAATAATTTTTCTTCTTAGAGAGGCTCACAGTCAAACAGAGAAACGAAGAAGAGACAAAATGAATAATTTGATAGAAGAATTGTCTGCTATGATACCTCAATGCAATCGTATGGCACGAAAACTAGATAAGCTTACAGTATTACGGATGGCAGTGCAACACTTAAAATCTTTAAAAGGTAGGTTTTAGGAAACTAATACTTAAAGTCCTTATTCTGTCAGGATTTATACTACATATTTTCTTTGATGGCTAATACATCTAAGGTCATGTATTATGTTTACTTGCTGAATTCCGTTCTGAGTCTGTTTTAATTTAAGTTGATATGCTTGTAGTTTCTAGAATTTTGTTTCGTTTTGGCTTTTCTTTCTGGTATACTAAACAACAATTAGGTGTTTGATATGTTATTTGCTAAGGCTATACCTTGCAGTCAAGTTACTCCTTGAGTCTTTTTGGAAATCATAGATACCAAGCAATTCCATCTTCTGTTATTTTCTAACCCTCAAATTAAATGTTTTGTAATCTCTTTTGTAATCTCTCCACTTCATACTTTCTACAAAAGTAATACATGTGGTGCTATACTGACATCACTAGCTGAACTGTTAGTGAGAGGAAAATGTTCTTCATACCCGTGTTTGTTACTGCTGTGTTTGGGATTGCATCAGCCTTTTGTCTCTGTATTGAAATGTCTTGTTTGTCAGTTGAGTTTAAAATGCACATCAGTGAAAAAGACCTTTCAAAAAAAACCAACTGAATTCTGTAAAGGCATGGAGTTGAAGGCCAGGTAACGTATGGAATGTTTCATATTTCTGAGTTTATTGTCTAGTGTGATTTCAGAAAAAAAGTCTTCTAAACAATGGGAAACTATGCTAATGCTTACCTAATCACTAACTACTTATCTAAGTAGTTTCACTGGTAGGGGGCGTAGGTTAGATCTTAAATTTTTTATAGAGTAGTTTGCCAGTGTACTTTCATAAAACAAATGAAAAAAGGCATGAAACTAAAGAAAAAGATTAAAAAGATAAAATTTGTCAGTGGTGAAAAGGAACAGCGTCAGTTCATACTTTAAAAGAATAGTTGATGACTGCAATTACGTTTGAGTCTTAAATACTTTGAAATGTTAAAGAGTGCAAAGAAAAAGTGTTATTAAATGCTTATATTCTGAGTCACATTACAAAGCACTCACAGATTTCAGTGAACAATTTAGTGTAGATATCAGCGTCTAGCTTAAGATGTATCTGCTCTTACTGTTATTAATAGCTTTGAGGGTTTTCTTTCTCTCCTAAGAAACATTATACACAAATACAAGTTACACATAAGATTTCAGGGTTTTTGGCAATAATATTTTAGAATAATTTAGTCAACTGTAAGAAGAGACTATGCCTTGCAAAAAATTTGATTAGGGATTAACATCTAATAAGAATTCCCCTTGTCTTAATGAATTATGTGACTGTCTTAACAGTAAAGGACTCAGAATAATTTAGGTTGAAGGGAATTCTCAGTCATCACTGACTCTTTAGCAGGGTCATTTCAAACTAAAAGGGTAGATTCAGGTTGGATATAAGGAAAAAGGCACTGGAGCAGGTTGCCCAGGGAGGTGGTGGATGCCCTGTCCCTGGAGACATTCAAGGTCAGGCTGGATGGCACTCTGGCACTCTGAACAACCTGATCTGGTGTGGATGTCCCTGCTCATTGCAGGGGAGTTGGACTAGATGGCCTTTAAAGGTCCCTTCCAACTCTAAGGATTCTATAAATTTCTGGAAATCTTCTTTTCCAAGTAGCTGAGAATTTTGCATAAATAATATCACAAATTAGCAGGGTAATCATTGCACTTGGAGTTTAAACATTCGTCTTCATCTTGACAATGAAAACAGAAATCTTCAGTTTAAACAGCATTATTTTAACAATGGGTTATAAAAACTCTACTTCATTCAGTGCAGTTGTTATATGTATCTTCAAAACAAATGCTTTAAGATCATATAAGATAATGTGTGGAATTATAGCAAATGCTCTCAAAAAATATCTAGAAAAAGTTGTGAAAATACTTTAAATGGCTAAGAAGGATTTTAGAGTATTTGCCACAGATGCTAGGACAGTAAATGTAGTGAGCGAAATGTACAGTACCTTTTGAATTTAACTACCTGGAGTGGTTTGTTTGGATGGCTGAATATATTAGAGTGTTAATGAAACTTTATTCATGCTAGAAGTCAACTGATAACATAGGAATGATTCGCATTCAGCAAATGTTAAGGATTCTGGAGCAGGTATACAAAATGTTTCTAAGTAATGCAGTTCTCATAATGCCATTTATCTAGCAGTATACTAGAGATATCTGATCAGAAGTTTCCTTGTTTTGTGCTAAATAAAAGGCATGGGAAAATCTGGTGATATGTCAAATTCAATATCCAGATATGTTTAAGAGGTTTGGTTGGTTCTTTTAAAAAAAAAAAAATCTTTTAAACTTTTATTCATCTGTTCTTATTGCAAGGAGAATTTACACAATAAAGACCAAATAATAAATATAATTTTGTTAAAAATGAATTTTTAATGTATCTTTTGACATTCTATGTATGTCTACAAATAAGCTATTTTCCAGGTTCCACTAGCTCTTACACCGAAGTCCGGTATAAACCTTCGTTTTTAAAGGATGATGAGCTCAGACAGTTAATCCTTAGGGTAAGTAGAAGGCAACTCTCAGTGAAATTATGTCCTCTTTAAAGCTTGTCGTTAACTTCAGTTTTTAGTTTGAGAGAACTTCCCACCCCCGCCTCCCCTACATCTTTTTCTTCAAGGAAGTGCTTTGATGCGCTTAGTCGTTTGGATTTATAACCTCTGTACAGGAAACAGGATTTTTCATGGAGAGATACAGAAGATGATAGCAGATGGCAACCCTTCGGGGGATAATAAATCTGTGTACACTCTGCATATTTAATACTTAAAACGTTTTTTAATACTGATACTGAAATCTACATGCAAGCATATATAATAATCTTAGTTATGTATAAATACAGTTGTTTGCTGTGCTTTATTTAAAATCTTAGCAATGTAGTTTGGAAAAGATGCAGAAATAATACCTGAAAGAAAATCTTTCTTCCTGTTTTTGCATGCAGTCATACACCCACACCCCTTTACCCTTTCTCTTTTGCATCTATTTTCTTTTTCTTTTGCTGCAATAACACTATTTGGCAAGATCTGTAAGATGACTCCATGTTAAGCTGTTTTGCAGCTGGCCTTCTTTTTCACAAAGCTATGTTTAGGAAACTCTAGCTGTCTGTATTTAAAGATCTGATTTGGTCCTTGCAATCTTTTAAATTGCTTTTTGGTGTGACTTTTAACTTATTTAATAAAAAGATACGAATGTACTTCCTTCTATCCATCGATATTAATTGTATATTTTAATGGTAAGTTTTTAAAGATGCTGTCTTTATATTTTCAGGCTGCGGATGGATTCCTGTTTGTGGTTGGATGTAACAGAGGAAAAATTCTGTTTGTCTCAGAATCAGTTTGCAAAATACTTAATTATGATCAGGTGGTTATAATTGAGTTTCTTGGTTTGTGTTTATCTTAGAATTTGTTTTACTTAGAAGTTTTTAACTTCGTTGGCTCATTGTATCCTTTTCTATAATTTCTTGGAACATCCTTGGTTTGACCTCTTTCAAATTAAGGCTAAATTTTCCAGAATAAAAATTTCAAAGTGCAATCAGTATTCATGACTGAGTAATAACTGGGTTTCAGTTGATCATACTGTAGAATTGCTAGTCTGAGGAAAAAGGATAATTTGGAAATGTCCTAATTTTATCCCTAAGAGATTTCCTTTAAATGGTGATTTTCTTTTTTTCTTTTTTTTTTTTTTAAGCCTGAGGAAAATGAGTTAGAAAGCAGTGTGCCCAGGTGGCCAAGAAAGCCAATGGCATCCTGGTTTATATCATAACTAGTATAGCCAGCAGGAGCAGGGAGGTGATCATCCTCCATACTCAGCTCTAGTGAGGCCGCACCTTGAATACTGTGTTCACTTTTGGGCCCCTCTTTACGAGAAAGACATTGAGGCCCCAGAGTGTGTCCAGAGAAGGGCAACCTTTGCATTAGGATTAGATGGAGACTGGGTAAATGAAAGAGGTTGAATGTTTATCCTGCTTTCTTAGAAGCTTTGCAGTATGTCCATTTCTGACTCTTGTTCATTGGAGAGGTGTTCCCCTTTTGTGCACTGATCACATAGAAAGTGGCAAGATCCAAAATGAGTTGCAGTTTCAGTCTACAATACTGATCGTTGACACAGCTCCTTTCTACCCTTTGATTTGACCTGCTGTGTAGAAGGTAGGGAATCAAAAAGAAAAGAAAAAAAGGTTGCCAACTTCTTTGAGAGTTCCTTCCTCTTTCAAAAGATGGTAGTGGTGCTTACAATAGTGCAGCAGACCAGCTTTGGATCAGCAGAATCAGCAGGTTGAAAGGATCCCAGCTAAGGAGATCCCTGTAAATATCTTCAACTAAGAAGCGCAGAGGTGAAAGCTCTATGCAGCTTCCAGACAACTCCTGATTAGCAATGCTCTTTTGTCCTACTAAATGAGAGTTCAGTCATAGGTAGCATTAATTTCTTCCTATTTCTTCCCTTATCCCCCCATCCCAGAAATAATCTGTGCTCATAGCCTTCTTTCTAAAGGACTGGGAATCGTGTCAAGTAAACAAACAAAAAAAAATATTGTGTTTTACAACACTCAATCTTTTTGAATATGTAACTAAATTGAGGTGTTTTTTTTTCAAAGGGAAGTTACAGATTATAGATTTTGCTACCCTAATAATAATAACTAATGGAAAAATAAATGCAAATTGATTTATAAAATTTAGAATAACTCTGGTGTTTTTACAAGGTGTTTTTTGTTTTTCAGTAGTGCAGAATGTTGTTTTTCTGAGGCCTGTAATATGTGGTGTCCTGTTCTAAAACAGTGGGTTTTGTTTTTTTTTTAATAGGCCAGTTTAATTGGACAAAGTTTGTTTGATTACTTGCATCCAAAAGATGTTGCCAAAGTCAAGGAGCAACTTTCATCTTCAGATGTCTCTCCCAGAGAAAAGCTTGTAGATGGCAAAAGTAAGTCGTATTTGAACGCACTCAAATTTCTTTTTTAATTTTTATAAGATGTTAATGAAGTCAGTTCTTATGTAGGAAATAATTGCGTGCATGGATGTACAAGCTTGAAATACAATTTCTATGAAAAAAAGGTGTTTCAGTGCTCATCTGCTGCTTATAATTCACTTGCAGTTTAAAAATTAGAACAGCAAAGAACTTATTGTAGGTAATAAGAGTGATTGAATTTAGCATTGTTGAACATTTACCAAATTGTAGTCTGACATTCTTCCTACCAGGCATACTACTTTTTTTTCTTGTATTTGATAGGTCTTGTCAATACAAAAGACCTGATGTAGTCGAACATGGAATAAAATACTTCAGTATCAAGAATCACTGTCTTCTCTGAAAATGCTAAGTGTCGATTCTAATTTAACCAAATCTATTTACAGTTATATCTGATATGAAAAGCATTATGTACTCTGCAGCTAATAACTGGCTTTTATAGGCATCTTTGCACTTCCTCTATGTACAAATAGGAGTTGAAAGTTGATAAAGTGTATTTATTACAGTATGTATTACTTGACAAAATGTTAAGTATAGCTTAAATTCAGTTTTGTAGTTCTTTTTAGATTTGGAATCTGTATGGCAGCCACGTTTTCTTTGCCTTGTTTAAAGTTATTAGACATTTTTTCTTTTGTAATTGTAAGGACAAAATTTAGGTAACTAAACAGTAAGGAGAACATATGAGAAACTGAAGGCCTTGGACTCAGCAGTTTTATTCTTGGATTTTTTTGTTTTCTTTAACTACTTTACTAAATTTTTGTAAGCTGGCTTGCAAGTACATACAGATTTTCAAGCTGGACCAGCTCGACTGAATTCTGGTGCTCGACGTTCCTTCTTCTGTCGGATAAAATGTAGTAGGACCACAGTCAAAGAAGAGAAGGAGTGCTTACCCAACCCAAAGAAGAAAGGTATTCAAACAGTGGAGCTGAAATGGGGGCTTTCTGTCTTGAAATTCAGTATATTTAAGTTCCAAACCAGTAGTGTGACGTTTCTAATTATCACTGATTTCACATAGTAGCTGTAGAGAAGTGTGTGCTGCAGACATGTTCTGAAAAACAGTCTAATTGTCCTCTTTCTCCTCCCTATTCACTCCTGAGAAGAGGAAGGGAGGAAGGAACCTGGGTTGCATTGTTGGTTTAGGAGACACGATCTGTTCTAGTCAAATTTTTGAAAGCACTGGAGCAGATCAGAAGAGTTAAACTAAATAACATATGTCTTGAAGATAACTATATGAATAAGGCCTGCAAAATCTGCTGTTTTGGAGGAAAAAAAAAAGCAAGTAAAAACTTTATCTGATTTACATTTCGTTTTGTGTGTACTTACAAATTATTTTTTTAATAGTAAATTTAATTTATCAGTGTAATTCCTGTGTTTTTCCAGTATCTTTAATTTAGTTCATGGTTTTAACTTAGTTTGGTATGCCTGTAGAGCAATATATTCTTGTCAAGTTTTCAGTGAATGAATCTTTTTACAGATGTAATTTCCAGCTTTTGGTTAATATCTTGGCATTGATTTTTACAAAAACAAAACAAACAAAAAACAAAACAAAAACAAAGACAAAAAAACCTGCAGAAATTATTATTATTGAGCTTGAAGAAATCTTTCTATTTCTTTTATTTCAATGTAACCTGCTGCTGTTGATATATCGTACAAGAATACATTCTAAAATGGATCTGTCATTGTAAGTCAGAGGAATTCTGTTTCCTTTGATGTGTCAACTAACTTGATGAGATAAGAATTTAGCTCTTACAAACATGCTTTCAGGCAAGCAGTGTTCAGAGAGATCACATTAAAAAATTGGGAAACTGACAGTCACAGTAGGATTACTCAATTTTTCATTTTACAAAATTGATTGGTGTTTTCCATAGCTAAGAGTTAATGCAGTCAAATCTGTGTAAAGCATAATTTGGTAAAATACAGATGTTAAGGTTACTTTGCCAATTTTGAGGGAAGATAGGGACTATAGGATACATCATCTCTGTGGATGTTGAGGTTATTGGGATATTGTAGAAGTCAAAAAGTTTCTACCAGTCATAGAAACGAATGATAGTGTATTCTTAACTTAAATGTTCTTTAATATTTATGTTTTTGTAAAAATTGAGGACTTCAGAAGTCTGAGATAAATAGAAAGTAACCTGGGTTATTTTGGGTTGCTCTCTTTGTCGATTATTTTAGTAATAGCAGTAAAAATGTTAAAATCATAGTGTTCACATAAGATAAATTGATTTGGAAGCTACAGAATGTTAATTTAGTTTATTTTGATGTACAGCACATAAGAAAATGTGAAGGAGAAGAAGTGGGTTACTAAGCTGTTGTTTTGTTGTTTTTTTTTCCTGTGACACTGCACTGTCAACCCCTATACTTTATCTTCTTAAATCTTGCATAGGGTTAGAAGCACTCTATTCAGGTAAGCCAAAATTAAGTAGTAAAACATTGATTTAAAAGTGCACTGTAACATTATCCATAGCCTTCTACAGTTGTTGTAAGCATGCATAAAATATGATGTTGGTCTTATGGTGAAAGATTTTCTTAAATTACATTTTGAACCATAGCTGCTTAATTTTTCTTTTTATTAGATCACAGAAAGTATTGTACCATTCACTGTACTGGATATATGAAGAACTGGCCTCCTAGCGAGGTGGGAGTAGAAGAGGAAAATGATGTAGAAAAGAACAGTAGTAACTTTAACTGTCTTGTTGCAATTGGGAGGTTACACCCTTACATCATTCCACAAAAGAGTGGAGAGATAAAAGTCAAAGCAACAGAATTTGTTACACGATTTGCCATGGATGGAAAATTTGTTTATGTAGATCAGCGGTAAGAATTTTCTTCTTTAATGAAAAGGAAATGGCATGACTTGGTTAGGTTTTGTAAACTTTTCTGTCAGAAAGGACTGCAATTTCTTAAGCAGGTTAGAATTTCTAGATGCTGTACACATGAAGAGCCTTGTCATGAATCTGAGTCCTTCAACTTCAGTTTGCTAAACATAAAATATATAATGTAGCAAAATAATGATTTTGTCCTTTAGGGAAGTGTAGGCTCACAAGATGAAAATGCATCATAACATGCTCTTGTATACTTATATATTCATAATAAAAAATTTCAAGTTAGTGTCATAGCTATACACATGAGTTACATTTGTTTGTAAGTTGCACTGATAGAGAAGTAATAAGCCCTTCACCAAAAATGACTGCTTATTTATATCACAATGTTTGGAGCAAATACATTCTATTAAATGAGTTACAGAGTTATTTCACTAGAACTGTAAGCCAAGTTCCTATTTTCTGAACTTTTCTAATATAGATTTTTGTTTGTCATACAGTCTGTTACCACTTCACATTTTGAATTTCATTATTGTCACCAGAAGACTTTTATTGCTTTCAGCCATCTCATCTTATATCTAAAAGCATCAGTTCAAACTTATTCCTTAATATAGCAAAATTTAACTATTAATTTTTTAAATGACTCATCATGTGGGTTTAGTACTTTGAATGCCTAATGGGAAGAACTAATAGTCATATATACTTTGTGTTCATTTAAATTGTGCATACAAATGGTTTGCATATTTAAACACTGTTATTTTGTCTTTGAATTGATACTCTTACACAATCTTGTTATCCTGTATTATTCATTGCAAACAGATCCAAGGTAAACTGCAGTCAATATATGCTATTGTTTTAGAGCTATCCTAATGCCATATCTTTTCCCAGACATGAACGTAAGCATCTATTTCTTTAAATATTCATTTTCTGCTTTATTTGATACTTAAGAAAGCAAGCATTGCAATTGTTTGAATCCAGCACAGTTCCTTTTTTTATTTCTAACAGTGCAACAGCAATTTTAGGGTATCTGCCACAAGAGCTTCTAGGAACTTCTTGTTACGAGTACTGCCATCAAGATGATCACAATCATCTAGCTGAAAAACATAAAGAAGGTACAAAATGGTTCTCCCAGGCTATGTACAACTACATGTAATTGCTGTGTGAAAACAGTGCAAATCAAAAAATCAGAAGCTGGGAATTAATGAAGACAATCTTAGCATTGTCCCTTTCTATGTCTGTGTTAAGACATGCCTTTGTAAAGTGTGTAAGAAAACCAGGGAGTTTCCTTCTCTGTTGTCTAAGATCTTGTCAAGACAATCTTCTGTTGTCTTGGATCTTGGTGCAGTGCTTTAATAGCTGGGCAATAAAGCCTCTTTCAACACTGTGCTTCAATTTTGCTTTATAAGAATAAAGGAGTCCTGAAGAGCAAATATGCCTAATAGTGTAATTAAAGACACTATTGATGAAAGTTCACCAAATCAAGAGTCTCCCTATTAGTTGTCTGCAGAAACTTAGGACATGGGCTCTCATTTAACATTAGTAGCATTGTTAAAACAGTAGTTTAACTTCATAAAGGTCTTATCTTGAACATTTTTCTGGCATTTAATTTGAATTTCTAATCATCAAAAACATTTTGTTTTTATGGTACCACGAAACAGATTTTTTTTTTTTAGCTCAATTCTGTCCTTGGAAGTATGAATATAGTGATTGTAATTCCTCTTTCTTATCTAGTCTTGCAGAATAAAGAAAAAGTTTTTACAAATTCCTACAAATTTAGAGCAAAAGATGGAAGTTTTATTACTTTAAAGAGTCAGTGGTTTAGTTTCATGAATCCGTGGACCAAAGAACTGGAGTACATTGTATCAAACAACACTGTAGTATTGTAAGTAATTCATTATATGATTCTCTATGTTAGTTCTTGTCTTAATTACAGTTAGCATTAATAGAAAACAACCTCTTTAAGAAGCAGAACAGGATTAGAAAATACCAACAGTGCCAAAAGAGGTTGATTAACGTGGAAGAACATTTGACATTTGATTTGCACCAGTTGATTTTGATTTCAGTCTCAGGTCATGGATTTAACTGTGAAAACTTTGCAATTTACCAGTTGAAAAATTAGAGGAAAGAGGCTCTTACTAAAGGAAGAAATATCTTTTAGGAAAATAGGTACAAATGAATGGAAAAGTGACATTATTTTTTTTTTCCTTCAAAGCTTTTAAGTCTGCGTGTGTTAGAATAAGGAGAAGCATAATTGATAGTTCATAGGAAATGTAAGGCAGGACAAAAAGACTCTCCAAATTGATTGCAAGGCAGCTGCCCACAAGACATTAAATGAACTGTTGGAGTGTGTGTTTCATTCTTATTTTGTTACATTTTATTCCCTGTGCCTTTCAATGGAATGATAATTTGGATTGTTCCAAAGACACTGAGCATCTTTCTCAACAACTTTGGTTTTTGGAGGAGGAGGAAGGTGATTTTATTTCCATCAGACAAAGTGGTCTGGAGGCCTTTTATCCACTCTGTAGTTTGTTCGAGTCTTAAGCCAACATCACCTATTTTGCCCTTGTCCTTTTTCCCCAATAAGACAAAGAAGAACAGTTAAAGCAGGCATCTGCGGCTAGAGGAGGGGAGGTAGGCAGCAGCTGCTAGCAGAAAGTAGCTGCTGATCTGTTCTTGTTAGGAGTAGTTTCTGATTAATGGCTCTCCCTCCTATAAGTAGAAATGGCAGTCTTGTTCTCGTCATGTAACATAGACAGCTGTGTTGGCCTTAGTTATTGATTTTGGGAGTGAGTGTAAATGAGTATTTAATTCAGTGCTTCAGAGATAAAAGTAGAAAGGATTTAATATTGAAATATGTAAGATATATCTCATTTTATTACTAGATTCACCATGGTAGATCTCCTTTGTAAAGCACTGATTGTAATATAATAGAAATACAATGGATTTTACCATTGAAAATGTTTCTGATTTTTTTGTTTCTTTGATGCTTTTTTATTTAAATCTTAGAGGTCACAATGAGTCTGAAGAACAGGTCTCCTATGGTTCCCAGCCTGCAGAAGGCAAGTGTTGCTTCTTACAGTTATCACTGGTGTATCTCCTGATCAATCCATGAAACTTTAGGTTTATTCAATCCAGGATTTTTTTTCATGTTAAGTTATTGTGCAAGGGAAAATAATTTTAAAGGTAATTCTAGCGAGGCAATTTTAAAAGTAATTCCATTTAGTTACAGCATTCTAATTCATGTAATTCACGTAACTGTGATCAGAAAGGCTTGCAGCATATCTTTTTTCTCTAGTAACTCCTGATATCAACCCAACACCTGATAAACTCTTGGTGTTTGGTTGATAGGACACAATGCTTCTATCACAGTCTCTTCATGCTTTTTCTGGTTTTCTGCAGAAATACAGGTGCACTGAGTTTAGCTACACAATAAAAGGTAACATAGATATATATATTGTTAACAATTCTCTGCTGTGCATAAGTTCTGATATCTATGTGGTTTTACTTTATCTTGCTATAAAGTTTTTTTTTAATATTTGCTTTTGAAGTATAAAGTTTGTGAAAATACAGCATTTTTTTTCCTCATTCTTTTTGAATTGTCTGAGTATAGAGGTGATAATGATTAAAACTAGTAATTACATTGCTGAAGATCATCAGTTTTCAAATTAATTTTATTCACTTATCTTTGTATTTCAAATAAGATAACAATTCCTATAGGGTTACTGTTCTATAGAATGTTTTTTCTGACAATGAGAGTAGAACAAAAACTGCTTTAAAATGAATCCTCAAGGTGGTTGTTTCTTGATGAATAATGAAACTGCTACAAACTTAAGATTTTATTTTATTAACTGTAGGTGCTGTAAAACAGTCTTTAGTGAGTGTACCTGGCATGTCCTCTGGAACAGTTCTTGGGGCTGGAAGTATAGGAACTGAAATTGCAAATGAAATATTAGAATTACAAAGGTAATAAACACTTAATATCATATGGTAGGGTTTTAAGTAAAGATGGAGAAGGGGGATATGTGTTTATTTGGGGACTGTTCAAGTTTCATTTTTATTGTGTACGTTAAATATATTTTGGTTGAGCAATGGCATTGTATGGTACAAATTATAAGCTAATGTAGATCTCATGTGTGCCCATACACATCACAGGTCTTGATAAATAGTTTTGTTCTAGAGATGCAATAATGGAAGAATTATGTAACTACATCTTCGGAAGTATTACTGTAATGTTCCTTTGTTTGAAATTAAAGTGAGTAGATAAAACAGTAGGGAATGGAAATTTATTTGCCGGTGAGTGGTGGTTATATTTTTCTGATAGCTTCATTCTGCAAACAGATTTCCGTGAAACAGTACCCAGTGGAGTGCTTTCATAGCCTGTTTTGTCCCTTCCTGATTGTTCTGAACACAGACTAAAGTAATAGTTCAATTGCTCCCCTGTACCCAGCTGTAGATTTAAAAAAAATATGACTGCACCGTTCTAAATCGAAATCCATGCCAGATTCAAGCTGTTAATTATAGACTCAGCCTTTTAAAGCTAACTTGTTTCACAGCGTGCCAAATGAATTCCAAAGGCAGAAACATAATTTTAATGTGAATATATTCTGTATCTTTTGTATTTTGCATCCGCTTTGGTGCTTGATTTTCCTTCTAGACAATGAGGTTTTAATATCAATTTGCACTATATCAGCATTTGTTATTTAAGAACATTTTTAGAAAGTCTTTGAGCCAGCCAATTCCAGGGCTTTGGGGATCCACGTGCACAGCTCTTTCAGGAATCAAGGCTTCATCAGAAGTTCCAACCACTTTTGTAAAGGTCAGATCTAGCATAACAGTACTATCATCAAGATAGGACCAGTCATCTAAATGGCAGCTTTGGCTAATGAAGCCATCCCTCTGATTTTAGGTCATTTATTTCCAGGTCCAGGTAAAGAAACACCAAGAAGTTGTTTATATTTTCAAATGCAATGTATTCCAAGATCCCATGTAATTTTTTCCAGCGGCACATTTGCAACCATGCCTAAGGACTCTGCAATAATATTAAAACTTCCAGTAAGAAGTACACCAGTTTTGTAAACTGTGGTAGAGCTGTAAGGAATAGTTTAATATGCCACAGTTTGCAAAATAGCAAGCCAAGCCATCTTAGACTTTAGTAGATGTCCAACGTGTCAGCTTGTCTGTGAGAATGTTATGGGAGACAGTGTTAAAAATTCACTGAAGTCAAATCTTCCATTAGTAAGCCTTTATTCCAGGCACCTTACTGCAAAAGGCTGTCAGATTGTTTAAGCGTAGTTGGCTCTTCTGCACGCTGAATTGCATGATTACATATTATCTCCTCATAACGTGATTCTCTTCTCAGCTGTCTTTTCATTGGAACACAGTATTTTATTGTCTGAAACAGTAAAAACCATGGCCAGAGCTTAAAAATATGATGAGTCACAGTGGTAGATTTTTCTGACTCTGTTTCCCGTAGTTTGGAATCCCTTTCCAGCAATGAAGTCATGTCTCTCTTCTAGAATAGCCAAATTGCACGGGGACTTGTTCCTTTTGAATGAAACGAAGGAAGGAATAATTGCATCAGAAGTGATAGAATAAAAGGATTGCTATTTAAAAAAAAAAAAAATCCATTGCAGCGTGTTGACAGGTTACTGACATTATCCATAAAGGAGGAGGAAAAGCACTGACAAAAAATTCCTATTGATACCTTTGGCATCAAAGAGAAAATGTTACACTTTAGTAATACCATTCTTAATGTCTTCCCACCAGTACCACCTCTAAAGGAAAAGAGCCATCCTATCAAATTTTTGGAAGACCAAAGTAAGTTGGCAGAAGTTCTCATCTCTGATGGTAAAAGTCCAGGCCTGAGCAAAGAGCTTGTTTTGACACTTACTCTAGAGCTTCTAACATTAGTGTTATATTCTTGATTTAGATCCCCTGACTTTATTCAACCATGTGAGAAAAGTTAGACGAAAGAAGTTAACACCAGCTCTTTTTTATTAAGTAATTATGTGACTACAGACATAATCCAATAGAATGCATATAATATCTGAATTCCCTCTCTTGTTTTTTAATGTCCATGAGACACAGATGACTTTAGAACTGTGCATTAAGCATGACCAAGTTAAAAAGAACGTCAGGGCTATATCTACACCTCTATTTATGAGCATATCTGAATTAGTTTAGCATCTGAGGAATGATCACTTCAGTTACAGCAATGCTAAAAGTTATTCAATCTGATCTTCCTCTCCCAGCATTTAGAGACAACAGTGCAGCTTACCCAATTGCACTTTGGATTTTGGAATGCAGAGAACTAATAGATATTCCGCTCAAGCAACTAAGCTTACTTTAGACAGGCTGTTTATTCACTCGTTTTCCACCTTTCCTCCTGTACCACATTTTGGATCTGAGGATGTGATGGAAACTGGAGCATTCAGAGTGCCCCATTTCCGTAGCCTTGTCCCTTGGGAGTCAGGAAGAGCAGTGGAGATGGGAACAAAGACCCAAAAGGCCCTGGTATAATATTTCCAATGTTATTTTCATATCTGGCATGTTTGGTAAGGAAGGATGAGAGGATGCATTGTTAGTTTTCCCTCCACCAGAAGGGTGAACCAGAAGCAGAACTTGCTTACACTGTCTATATTTGGTGTGTATTTAAAAAATATTTACTCCAGTGTGCATAAATGAAACCTTGTACTCTTTGGTCTGTCAGTGTTGATGACTGAAGAAAAAAGAAACTTGTGCTCATGTAATTAAGACCAATGGACTTCAATGATTTCTTGTGCTTTTTGCATTATCAAAACTAGGGCAAGAGAATTTAGAATCTTCAGGAGAATTTAAGACAATGTCTCAGTTTAGCTGGCTCATACTTCATCACTGGTGAGGACAGATCTAGCGGGTTCTGCAGCAGGCTGTTTTTCATTTCATGATTAGTGTGACTTGGTAAATTGGTAAATCAACTGTACATATAATTTTAGGTTGCATTCTTCACCACCTGGGGAGTTAAGTCCATCACATCTCTTAAGAAAGTCACCATCTCCAGCTTTAACTGTAAACTGCAGCAATGTGAGTATATCACTATCTGTGAAAAACTGAGAGGTTACTGTCAAAAAAGCCCATGTTTAAGTCAGTTACTCTGGCTTGTGTTTTTGTGAGAGAATGTGTTAGGTATTGCCAGCTTCATGGCAGCTATGAAAATTTATTTTGTAAGACATGTGACAGCAGCAGAAATGCCAACCTTAGTTACTGGGATGTCTCTTCAAGCCTCAAGGGGCCATTCTCTGATGTCTAAGAGGACTAACTCTCTAACTAACTCTCTCTAACTAACTCTCTCTAAGTCTAAGAGGACTCCAGTCAGTATTCAGTTACTAGGATCTTTGCTGAAACTATCAATATGCTTAATTTGATGAATGTGATTCACATAATAAGGTCTCTTCTGAACTTTGTATTGCCTTAAATAAATACCACTTTTGCTAAGTGGTCATCAAAGAGCAGTTCTTACCTGCTTGAGTTCAGATTGACAACCTAAGTTAAACACCAGTTCTTGCTTTTTATCAAAAGTTTTTTCTCTACTTTAACCTTTGTTTTCCTGAAGACCCCTTTAAATTTGCATGCTGCGTGTTCCCAGTTCTTGAATGTTTAAAAATTTTACTTAGAAGGTACTCCAGTGGTCTTCTGAAAAAATAGATAGAATGCATTGTTTTGTTAATCTATTAGAGTTATTGGCTAAAGCTATGAATGAAATATTTTTTTTACCTAAGTGTATCGTGTATCACTGTTAGTATATTGTGCACTGTATGAACAAACATCTACACCCCTTTGAATGTAAATTTCTTTCCATTTAAAGCCAGTCTATCCTTCTATTGCTCTTTCAGTGCATAACAGTACTGTTCTGTACTAGGGATTGTTTTGGCTTTCTCTTTTTTTTATGATGCTCAGTTTACTCCTTTCCTACTTCAGGTCTGTCTTCCTAAGAGTTGACATACATATACTGAACTTTTTCTGGCATGCAGCATCTCATCAGAAGGATATCTTAGTTGTATTCATTGAAGATGTTCCTTTGTTCTGTGCTATTTGTTTTTAAATGCTTTGGTAAAGCATTTCAACTTTATTATAATTTCCTAACAGACTGTACACAAGACAGGCAACCCAAGAAATCTGTTCTACTAAATTGTATACATGTCCTATGTGGAACAAATGGAAAGATATTTTTTTGCTGGTATATTTGTATTTGGATGACTTCCACCATCCCTATGGTAACAAGATGCAAATTAATAATAGAAAATACTCAATTTCATGATTCATATAGCATAATGCATATAACATATAGAAGATATGTGGGTTTTTATCTTTTAGCAAGAATGTGTCAATATTGACATAGATTGATGTCACTGGGAATTTGTAGTTTACACTACTAGACATGGAAATTGTATATAGAGCATCTTGTTGTGCTGGATTTATTTACTGATTGTTCAGTTCAATAGGGCAGATGCCAAAACTGTGAAGTACCTTTGACAGATATGTAAGAATCACCTTTTTTTTAAGCAAAGGCTGAGGCAGTGTGTACGCTAGTTAAAAAAAATTAAAAAAAATAAAATAAAGATTTTAATATGCAATAAGTCTGCCTTGATGCATATCTTTTATCAACTCTTATTTAGTTCTTTGCCCTTTGGCAGCTATTTACGTTATTCAATAATAATGTTTTAATTTTAATGATACGTAACTACTGCTTCAGTAATGTAATAATTATGGTTAAATTTAGAATTTAATTCTACTACTTCTGTACTTTCAGGTGCCGAATAAAGAGTTGATTCAGTTATGCCCTTCAGAAGCAGAAGTTCTGGAGACTTCAGAACAAAACCAAGGTGCTATTCCATTTCCCAGTAATGAGCCCCTCCTCGGTAAGGTTTACTTCTCTTTGGCTGTAGAAGAAGACATTTATAATAATTCTGTATTTTTCAGTGCACTAGTATACAACCATGTAGAAATTATAACATTTCAAGAGATTTGTTAGTATCTGTCTTAAGATGAGGGGACTCTTAATAGAGATCCCCTTGTTTTATAGCTCTCATCCAATTGAGCTATGATCTTCAGGTAAGGATTTGAAAGAGCACTCATTCAAGATAGGCAAGGCAGCATAGTAGGAACTATGGAACACCTTTCTGCTTCAGTGGCATGAACTTCACCGCATGGATAAAGAGTTTCAGTAGCTAGTCTTTGACTGTCTGCATTAAACCATTATTTCTATTATTTCATATATTTTTTTTAACATTTACTATATACCTGTTTGCCTGAACTTCAGAGAAAGATGCCTGTTTAAAAACAAATCTGCTGGGAGAGTTGCCATATTATTCATGCTTTGTACTGCATACATAAATGTTTCAATAATTTTTAGGTGGTAATTCTCAGCTGGACTTTGCAATATGTGAGAATGACGACACTGCCATGACTGCTCTTATGAATTACTTGGAGGCCGATGGAGGACTTGGGGATCCAGCTGAACTCAGTGATATACAGTGGGCTCTCTAGTTTTGATTTTTGGAATGAGAAGGAATTTAAAATCCTTAATGCACAACAACCGAACATCCTCAGTACTGTATTTTTTTTTAATGTTTCATTTGAATTCCTATGTACTATCAATATATTTTTAAAGACTGAAGCCTTGTTCACAGAGAGACAGTTTCTGCTGCAACTATGGAAAAATGCAATATTTTTTTTTCATAATGGGAACTTTGAAATTTTAATACTGAATTATCTGTAACTGGAATGCTTATATTTTTTCTAAGAAGCTTTAACCAAAAGGTACTGTACAATATACAGAAATATTTTTCTTAGTTTTAACACTTAAACTTTTATTTATTTTTTGCTTCAAATGGGACAACGTTGATTATCTATGTCGCTTTCTCTAGAACCTTGTACTTAGAGTCTAAAAATATTTATAACTATTACATTTCATTGTAAATCTGATATGCACACACTACAGTTTTAAAATCAGGTATCATAGTTCCTAAGTGATGCAGTTTTTGATTCCTTATTCTTTTCAAAAATGCAATTTTTGTAGTCGAAAGTGAAAATGAAGCATACACTTCTGGGATCATGGATTTTAATTAGATTGTCGTACCAGAGAGAAGGTTTTAAGAAAAATCATTTTGGTCATTTCTCCAGTACACAAACATGATAATGGTATGAGGAAAGAGAAACAAAATCATAATTGTTATGTTGTATTATTTCTGATGTATTGTTAGAGGAACAGCGCGTAGAACCTAAGAAAAGTAACGCTATACCTGTAATAAAGCATTTTGGTTTTTATCGCAGATTATTTGCTAACTAGAGAAGTTTGGATAGATTGTCTTAGTTCCAGGATGAGGATAGCACTGTTAGTGAAAAATGTTAAAATTCTGTTGTATCCTTTGTAGTATTTCTGTTTTGGGAGGTGAGGGTGATTTTCTATTTCTGGAGTCTGTGACTTTTTAAAAACTTGTGTAATGTAGTGCTATATAAAATGGTCTTTTTTTGAGAGACAGCTTTTCTAAGACCCGTATCCCAGTTACAGCAGATTACTCAAGAACATGGCATTTAACAGATTGCATTAAAACAATATAGCATAAATATATAAAATTGATTTTTTTTATTTCTGATATTAAATGTATAGACAAGTTTGTGTGTGAATTATATATCATAAAAACAGATTTTCTTAAAGATTTTGTTTAAGTTCATGTAATGAAAGGAAAGCACTGAAAGGCATTTGATATTTGTGCATCTTTTTTTAATACAAGTATGAAAACTTAACTGTAGGCACCACCATAAGCACTGTTTGAAGTTTAAAGGTGGAAGGCAGGTAGCCCTTTCAGATCTTACAAAGGCAGAATGAAGTGTGAACAAATAGATGGCTTCTCTCTAAGCAGCCGCCAGATGTCATGCTCCTACTGTAGGAAGCCACCTTTCCATGAATGAATACACAATTTGTCAGCACTGACTTGCTATGCTTTGACAGAGCAGCTCTATATCTTATAGATATGAATTCTTTCAGAAATGATGAATTTTTGGTGACATCTCGTCCGTGTTTTCTAGAATGGTTTGTTGGTTTAATTTTCTGTTTTCTTTTTTATTGTCTGCAATTATTTTGCACTGACCCTGCATGTGATTTCCTGCATTCACAGTTTTTTGAAGACCTGGGGCCAAAATTACCTGTTCTTTAGCTTTATTGGAATAAACTGTTTTGTTTCTTCACTGAAAAATAATTTGGGGCTGTATCATGCAGCAAAGTGGGAAAAAAGAACAACAACACAGGCGTTTTCTAATAATTGTTAGACTTGTATTTGTACTAATAGTAAACTCAGAATTTAAAGTTTTGCCATTGTGAAATGTGTTTTCTCTTTTTTTAATGATTTTGACCATTAAGGTAAAAATAAATTCTAAATAAAACAAGAAGTACTGCGGCTGAGACAGAGAAATAAGTAAGTAAATGACTTACAGCTATACAGAGTCTCTTCAGTGTGGTTTCTTTCTTAACTGATTAGTTTGAAAATGGTGCAGATGTTGTTATTGAAGGAACATATTAATTCTTTCACAAGATTTATATGATCTTCCAGAGTTAAGCCACTGTTTTGGAACTTTATTGCATTTCCCTGGAATTCCAGGAAGTAATCAGCTGGAAAGTTTTGTGTCACATAGGATTTTTCTGAAGGCAACCATTTTGTTCTCCATCCAAGATGAGAATAATTGTATTCTGCACAAACATGGAGGTCGTGGAGATATTTGTGGATCTTGGTTCTTGCAGCTTAAAAGCTGTAAAGCCATATTTCAGAACAGCACTGTTAATAGATCCGAGAAAAGGTAAGTGGGGAGGTGAATGAACTGCTGAGGGGCAGCTCGTGCTGCTGCATTACACTGTGTGTTCCAGCAGATTCATCTTGATAGCTCCTCTTTTCTGTGGCAGAGGGCTGTCATAACTAAGTTAAGAAACTTCCCATCTTCCTTGTGAGGAAGAGGTAGGCTTCTGAGGCATGTCAAGAGTTCTCGTGTCTCTTGGAAGTGAAAAAGCAGTTTCATTAATACAGTTCATGTCTGTACAGCACTTTTTATATGAGATCCTGGGGAACTGCTGCCAAGCTGTGTCAGTCTACTATTTTTTTCTTTTAAGGGATGTTTAAGGGTCCTGAGAGAGGTGCATGTATGTGTCAGCTTCTATTTTACTTCATTAAATGAGGGAAAGGGAAATGAAGTAGCTTGGAATGTCTGATTTATTGAAGGATACGTTTGCATGTATGGGCAGTTACTACGTACAACTTATCCTTCAGCTGTTCTTATGCCAAAAATTCTAGAAATAAACACACAATCTTTGGCAATCATAAAGAAGGTTTGTAGAAAAAATCCTGCTTGTTGTTTGTTGCTGTGATAGAGCTGGCCCTATCTGGGAGGTGTTTGCTTCCACAGCATTTGCCAGATCTCAGGAGTGCATGAGCTGACATCAGTGGTGTGTCCTGCAGAATCTAGAGAAGTTAGGCACAACTGGGAGAAAATTAAGGAATCAGTGGGCTCTTTTGTAACTATAAAGTGTATCAATGTGTTTCTAAAAAAAAGACTGAAGAGAACAGCAGAACTTTGAATACTACAGCATTTCAGCTAATTTGTAGTGATTTTAAACAAATCTAACTTCAAAGACTGCTCCTTTCATAAATCTTACAGGTGAGGCTAAACTGTAGAAGACTGGGGCTTTAATATTTACAAAAAAAAAAAAACAAACTTAGAGTGAACTGATATAAATTCTTCAACCAGAGTGGTTCCATGCTTAGATTTTGTGTTGTCAAAATGGGATAATAAGCAGATTGGTTTCTTAATTGCTCATACTTTGAGCACATCTGATTTGCCAGGCCTTTAAGAATACCTCTTTCCTGGAGACAGATAAATAATGCTTTTGTTATTATTGTTAAAGGGATGGTAAATCTCTTGGTTGTTCGTTTGTTAGAAAAACAACAAAAAACCCATGCCAAACCAGGCAGGTGAACTTAGCACTGTATCAGCAAGATACAGTCACATGCTGAACACTTGTGCTGAACAAATGAGTTCTGTAGGGCACAGGGCTGGCTGGGCTTCATCCTGTGTGGGGCATGAGAGAAGCTGTGGTGGGTAAGGCTGCCCTGTTCTGGGAGCAGCCGTAGGCACGAGCCGACTCCTAAAGAAAATGAAGAATAGGAAAAGCACAGCGACAGCTTTAAGTGCTTTCAGCTTGGAGGATTTCCTCAGCTTCACTTGGTGTCTGTTTGGCAAACCCCAAGGGATGCATTTCAAGTATGTCTATCTGAACTACCTGCACTGAGCCTGTGGAAACGTCCTCGCTATTGCAGGAAGAGCTGCTCGTATCTGTTTTGGCTCCTGTTAGCTTCGTTTTTGGATTGCTAGTTCATTTTTGGGTCATTTCCTCTTGTTCTGGAAATGACAGCAAACAGTTGTGTCTCCTCTCCTGTTTCTGTGCTATGTCTCTCATGACTTAGGGTTTTATGACAGTACCCCTTTATGAACCAACAGCTTTCAGTCTTAAATCACAGTTCTTTGAAGCTGTCTTGCTGGTGGTTTATTACAATAATTACAGCAAGTTCATAGTTATCTTTGCAAAAAAACAGTGTGTATTTAGTTTGTTATAACCTTTGGGGCATTTTATATCCTAGTTCTGGAAGGAACATCGAGTTTCCAGTATAAAAACACGTGTATTTCAAAAATCAGAGGTCATTATTTCAGAGGTCTTACAGTTGCTTTGGTGGAAAGCCATGGGAAAGAGTCCAATGTTGAGAGAGTATGTAGATAAACAAAAAGATCAAATGAAGTGAAGATTCACATAGAGTTGCAGGGAAAAGAAAAAAAAAAAAAGGCAGCAGACAGAACAACTACTTCCATAAATAATCTAAAATGTAATTTTCTACATGCTGCAGGCAAGGGACGTGTGTGGCTGGGGCTGTGGGATGGGATTTCAGTGGCTGCGATAAAGCAGAGGAGGCTGGGTTGTTGGTTCTTCTGTCTCCGTCTTGGTTATATTTAACCTTTATTTACTGATTCTGGTAAGCTTTCTTATCGGGCTGGACTTTTTTCTCCAGTAGGAGTAAAAGGCAGCAGCTGCTGCCTTTTCACGCAATCAGTTTCACTGAGTACTCAAACCTATTGCACTCATCCATCCTCAGTCGCATTTTTGTAATTATTGATTTGGGGTTTCTGGGATTATCTGATAACAGAAACAGTGCCTTACCAGTCTGAAAAGAGCCAGGAGCTGGGCTGGTTGAAACTTGTGCTCCTGGAGCAGTTTGATAGTGTTACAAGGGGGACCCTTTTAGAAGGGGTGGGAAGTTAGCACTTCTGGCTCCCCATCTTGCTGCCCTCAGCCTGGTGCTGGTGCCTTGCTTAGGAGAGCCTTAACTCAGGGTTATAGGGAACAAAGTGCACAGAACTGAGGTTTGCTGAGACATTTGCTAATCCTTTTCCACTGATGACTTTTCCACTATAACAAGTGCAGAGTTACAGTTGTTCAGAGCTTGGAAGATAGAACTTCCAGTCTCTGAAATCACCCTGTAATGGGATTTTCATAGGGGGGAGTTTTTCATCATCACAGAACTTCTAACCTGTACTTGGTACTGCCAGCTCAATCACATGTGTCTTGAAGTAACATGTCACTGCTGCAGGGATAGGGCACGTGCTGTAGGGGATGATGGGATTGTACTTTCCTCCTCACTGATCAGATGTTAACAGCTAATTTTAATTTGGGCACTGCTATGCAAGAAAATTTGTGGGCATTCTGTCTGTAATTCAGTGAAATACGGTGCAATTTTGTGTATGCCATTGGGTGGTAAAGCTGTTCCTTGCAGTGAAACAACCTGGGGGACTTCATACAACCCTTGAAAGAACTGTAATGAGAGTTTTTGTTCTTTGTGACTTTGTTTCTTCTGAAAGTCGAGTTTCACTGAGAATAGAGACTCAAGCTTGTAGGATTTTTACTTTGTCTGAAGTAGTCTTCAGCATTTTCACTGATGTATAACAGCATCTGAGTGCAAATTTGACTCCACAACAGTCAGCGAGTTTCTTTGCCTTTGGCTTCAGCATGACCAGGATCAATATTAAGAGTAATTGCAATGTGACTGTTAAAACTGAAGTTCTAAGTAGAAGAATTGGCTGAGCCTAAATCCTTTCTACAGCCAGGCTTCTATTCTTCTGCTGCAGTTAATGTTGGATAGATATATGGATCTTATATGTGTCAATAGCTATATACAAGATATATAAACAGACATATGTGTATTTAATTCATATATGGTGCAGACGAGCTCATCATAGCAGAACTTTATCACTTATAGATATAGTGGTCTATCTTTTAATGAGAGCAAACTTGGTAAATGTTGCTGTATTTCAGGAATTGGTGGAATGAAGCCTTGTGCAGCTGTTCATAGCTAAGAAGGGAAAAAATATGCAATAATGTCATGCACTCAACATTAGTACCACAATTAATCACCTGGGGAGCAAGTTCTGTCTAAATGCAGGTAGAATATTTATGCCAAAATAACAAAATAAGCTCACATTTCACATAACTTAGTTAATAGGAAAAAGGTTCTTTGATATTTCTGCAGAGGATGCAGTGTGTTTCAGCTCTCTTGGGGTTGCATGTCTTCTTATGGATACTTTTTAAATTGCATTTCAGCATTTTGCTGCAAGATCAGGTCCAAATCTAGTTAAAATATGCCAATGCCAACTGTCCATTTTCAAATTAAAGTAAAAGGTTTTTAAAATCTCAGGCACAAAATATTATAGTCTTAATCATATTTATTATCACCGCTCCCTCATGATCTCAAGATGGTTGAACTTAATCATCAGCTGAAAAACTGCAGCCCTTCTCAGGAGCTGTAAATAATAAGAGGTTCATTTTATGAGCTTTAAGTTTGAGACAGTAGCCTAAAATTGACTGCATTTTGATTTTCAGCTGGGAAAAGTGTAACCTCTATTTCTGTGCAAGTGCTTTAGAAATTGCTGCAGAGCGTGAAGAAATGCTGGGTCCTGTCGCTGTTGGGAGTTTGTTGGCTTTTAGTTTTGAAGAAGGCTTAGTTATTTCCTGCAGAAGGATCCCTGCTTAAACAGTACTGCCAGTTGTGTGATAGCACTGTGCTCTCCTGAGAGATTGCAGTGCTGCTCCTGAGCAGGCTGCTCTGTATAGGGTACAGTGCAGAGTGAATCCTGGATGTCACCTAATTATGAAGATGGAGGAGCTTGCAGGACTGATGTAATTGGCTTGTCTTCCTCCACCTCACTCCAGGGCCAGCCTGGGCACTGCTGCACACCACTATTCAGAAGAGTCTAAACCTTGCCCCAAAGCTTCGTGT